CTGGAAGCTGTTAAAATGTTTTTTCTTAGCAGGTGTTTGCAATGCAGCTCTGTTGGAGATGGCCAAGTCCTCTAAGGAACCCTCAGGAGGGTCACTAATCTTGGGTCAGAGTAGTTGACCAAACCCTGCCATGGTTGGAATTTGGAGAGAAAAAGTAGGTCTCATTTAGTCAACTCATCCTACCAGAGGGCCAGCCTCAGCTCCCCACACCTTTCCCAGAGGGAACGCCCTGCACACTCTGGGGCTGCTCACAGACGATCAGACTCACCTGACAATGTTACTGGGTCTTTTTGTAGCCCCTAACAATTCGAGGAGCAGGCTGGGATGAGTGGAGTGCCTGAGATGGAGCTGGCAGTCCCTTCCCTTCTCTATCAAATCATGACACCCTTCTGTCCATTCATACCCCTTCCTCCAAACCCACACTCCAACACACCATTCTCCTGCCCTCCCCAGTACAGCACTCCTGCATTTCCCATTAAACATCACCAAACCCAAGTGAGACATCCCCAGATACTATAACCCATTGAAGTTCTCTTCTAGATCCCCTGTGTGTTCTGACCAATGGCCTCAGTGGTGTGTAGCTCCCCAGAAAGAGCCAGGTGTTCCCACTTCACTCCCTGCATGGGTCACTCACTGACTATGGGTACTGCAGGCAGATCACTTCCCCTCTGTGGACTCAATCTCATCTGTTTGGTGGGGATACTCTTCCTGCCAGGCAAAGACAGATTTTTTAAAGTTTATTTCTTTACTGTAAAATAAAACATGCTGCTTGTAAAATACTTGAGAAATCTAGAAAAGTACACAGGAGAAGATAACTATGGCCCATAATCCTCCCTCTCAGACATTCAGAGATAACCATAATATTTTGATGTATTTCTTCTAGCATTTTTCCCATGACTCTATATTTTCAAGGAAATGTATAACACATATTTATCAAAAATGTTAACAGAGTTGCCACACAGGAATGAAAAGAAGTAGTGTCATTTGGCCTGGAGTTTCTACTTGGCAGCTCCTGTGGCTGCTGCTGAGGTCACATCTCAGTGACTCTGCCAATTTGTCTCTCTTAGAGTGGAATCAGGTGTCATAATTGCCAAATGTTGTGGGATTGATTGACCCACGCACAGCCTGACTTGGCCATGCAGCCAATGAAATAACTGGCTGCTGCCCAAGAAGGGGGTCGTTTAGTGCATCGCATCTCGAACGTTACAGTGCACAGGAGTCACCTGCAGAGCTTATTAAAAACGAAGATTCTGATTCAGTGGGCTGGGGCAGGGCCTGAGAGTCCGCACTTCTCCCAGTTTCCCAGATGATGCATATACAGCTGGTCCCTGGACCACACTTTGAGTGGCAAGGCGTTAGGGAACTGAACAGACTCCCATTTTGTTCAGCAAATAAATATTGAAGTCCTATAATGTGTCAAGCACTTGGTAGGTGCTTGGGGTGAATGACAGGAGAAAAGGAGGACTGAAGGACAAGCCAACACCCTTAGATCCAACCCTGAGGGCCAACCTTTTGCTCAGCCACTGGCCTTAGCAGTGATTCCCCCGGGGGCTTTGTTCTGACCCCCCAACTCACCCCCACCAGCTTCCTCAGGAGCAGCTTCTTCCCGAGCACACTGCCCTGATGAGCCAAGAGTGACGGAAATCCTCTCAGCTTCCCTTCCTTTCTTCAAGGTTTTAATTATCCCATAAATTGTCCATTGACCTGTCTTGCTATTTTGCTTGCCTCCTCTCCCTTTATTCAATTAGCCAAAAAGAAATGGGGTTCCCAATTTCAGTTCACCCTGGATCCTATGCCACACCAGGACAAGGATGGGCTTCCAGAAGGTGTAGAGGCTTTCCTCATCCCAGTCCCAGTGGAAGGCACAGGCAGGACTAGCACATAAGCAGCCCACCAGAGGCATATCCAGAGGCAGCTGAGGGACCCGTCTCTGCCCCCAGGGTGGTGCTGGCTGTATTAGTCATACCCTGATGCATCCCCTAACTCGGGTATGAGTGATGATCAGTAACACTAACCACTTCATATCTGCACAGCTCTGGCTGCTTACGAAGTGTTCCCACAGTCTCTCCCTTATTTATCCTCACATCACCTCTGGGAAATAGACACTAGTATTGCCCCATTTCACAGCTGAAGAACCTGAGGCTCTGAGGAAGGAAGTGACTTGCCCGAGGTCACACAATAGGAAGTGGCGAGGACAAGAACCCACCACGTGTGCAGATTCCAGTGCTGTTGAGGTTCCAGTACCCGCAAGTCACGCTCAGATCTCTTCCTCCACCTCCTGAAGGGCAAGGAGGAAGCAACATGCTGCACAGCCCCNGCAAGGCGTTAGGGAACTGAACAGACTCCCATTTTGTTCAGCAAATAAATATTGAAGTCCTATAATGTGTCAAGCACTTGGTAGGTGCTTGGGGTGAATGACAGGAGAAAAGGAGGACTGAAGGACAAGCCAACACCCTTAGATCCAACCCTGAGGGCCAACCTTTTGCTCAGCCACTGGCCTTAGCAGTGATTCCCCCGGGGGCTTTGTTCTGACCCCCCAACTCACCCCCACCAGCTTCCTCAGGAGCAGCTTCTTCCCGAGCACACTGCCCTGATGAGCCAAGAGTGACGGAAATCCTCTCAGCTTCCCTTCCTTTCTTCAAGGTTTTAATTATCCCATAAATTGTCCATTGACCTGTCTTGCTATTTTGCTTGCCTCCTCTCCCTTTATTCAATTAGCCAAAAAGAAATGGGGTTCCCAATTTCAGTTCACCCTGGATCCTATGCCACACCAGGACAAGGATGGGCTTCCAGAAGGTGTAGAGGCTTTCCTCATCCCAGTCCCAGTGGAAGGCACAGGCAGGACTAGCACATAAGCAGCCCACCAGAGGCATATCCAGAGGCAGCTGAGGGACCCGTCTCTGCCCCCAGGGTGGTGCTGGCTGTATTAGTCATACCCTGATGCATCCCCTAACTCGGGTATGAGTGATGATCAGTAACACTAACCACTTCATATCTGCACAGCTCTGGCTGCTTACGAAGTGTTCCCACAGTCTCTCCCTTATTTATCCTCACATCACCTCTGGGAAATAGACACTAGTATTGCCCCATTTCACAGCTGAAGAACCTGAGGCTCTGAGGAAGGAAGTGACTTGCCCGAGGTCACACAATAGGAAGTGGCGAGGACAAGAACCCACCACGTGTGCAGATTCCAGTGCTGTTGAGGTTCCAGTACCCGCAAGTCACGCTCAGATCTCTTCCTCCACCTCCTGAAGGGCAAGGAGGAAGCAACATGCTGCACAGCCCCCACCTCAGCCCTGCCTCCTTCTACCAGGAGCCCATCTCCTGCTGGAAACTTCCATCGTGGTTCTCGATTTTTAAAGCATCCTTGTGAAGGACACTCCATGGAAGGTCACTTCCAGCCACCAGTTGGTTTCTGCAAAAGAAGTGGATGTGGGATCCCTTGAGGGGGGAATAAAAAATAAAACAGAAAGATCGCCTTAGCTTTTGGATTTTTAATCAGAGGAGCATGCAGGGCTTGGGGGGAAATGATTTCTTCAGGGGGGTATAAATGGAAAGAGATGCTCAAAGTCAGTGACAGCCTGTTTTAATTTATAATTCTGCCTCTGTGTGAAATGCACAGAGAACTGGGGGGGAAATGAGTAATAATTCACTAAGGTGCTGTCACAGCCAGGAAGCATCAGGGCCCTCTTTGTCAGCCTGCTGCTGCCAAGAAGGCTGCGACAGAGGAGGGACGTGGAGAGCGGTGGGTGTCAGCTACAGAGCCTTTCTCCTCCATGAGACACGGGCTTCTCCACAGCATGGGCTGGAGCTGTCAGGTGCTCTTGGAATGGCCTGGAATGGCCCACTATCCCCTCGGGGCTGAGCGCCTTCTCTGCAGCCATTCTCAGAGGGAGCTGGAGAAAATGGGCTCTCTCCAGCCTTCCTCTCCTTTCCTCCTCCTCCTGTGGGCAACTGGGGAATATATGGTCTCGAAAACTGACTGCAGCCTCTTTCATGGGACCTGGGATCAGCCTGACGGAGAGAAAGGATTTCAAGCCCTTTACACTGAGCCAACAGATAGAAAGAGGTCCCAGTGGCTGGGATTGACCAGAATAGGCTAGGTTCTGCTGCAGGAATAAACCCTCCCAAACTTTTTCAGTTGCTTGATGTAGCATTTGCAGTACCTGTCCAATGAAGGCTGGGGGCAGGTGGGGCCTCTGCTCCACGGATCACTCCAGGACCCAGGCAGGCAAAGGCTCCACCATAGTAGAGTGGCACGCTCAGGAACAAGAACTCTCTTTGGTCACTACAGCAGAGAGAGGCAGGCTAAAGATATACACAAGGGCTTTGTACAGCCCTGATCCACTCATATTTCATGGGCCAAAGTTAGCCATGTGGCTTCACTTAACTGCAAGGAGCTGGGAAATAAAGGGGAGCAAATGGAAAGTTTTGAGCAATATGTATCTCTGCTAATGGGGTGATTTGAGGGACTCACACCAACCCCCAGCCAACACTGCCGCTGCCACCACCACACTCTTGTCATAGTGTCAGCTGTTAGAAATATCTTCTAGAGAGGCATACATTGGCCTCTCCTGGGGTCACATTCATGGTTGGTCAGTATGCAAAGCACAGAATTTAGAACCAGAAGGGCTGGGTTTGAGACCCAGCTGGGCTACCTCCTACTTTGTGACCTTGGACAAGTTGCTTAACATTACTGGGCCTCTGCTTTGTCATACAAAACTGGACTAACAATATCCATGTCATGAAGTTATTATTATTACTATCTTATTCTCTGAAGATCAGAAAATTGTCAACCAGCAATGCACATGTGAGGGCTTGGGGGCCCCTTTTCATTACGATCAGTGTCATCGGACATCAAGCATTCTGGCTAGGGAGCTGTTACTAGTGGAAAGAATTTGGCTGTGCCTGGCTAATTTGACTTGACATTGGCATATTTTGCCCTTAGCAGTCCTGGAAATGTCCTTCAGCAGTCCTGTGCCCCTATGCTCTCTCCACAGGTAGACTCCCTGCTGGTTTTTACTGTGATTTCGAGGATGACTTCTGTGGCTGGACCCAAGGCACACTCTTACCCGACATGCCCCGGTGGCAGGTCAGGACCTTAAAGGATGCCCGCTTCCAGGACCACAAAGGTACTTTCCCCTCTTCCCTTCTCCCTGGTCACCATCCTGATGCCCATGTGGATAGACAAGGGACGTAGGGCCCCACCCCGGAGCAGCTGGGCTTCTCCCCACCCTGCAGGGAAAGCGCAAGTGCAGGCCCAAAGCTTGCCTAGGGTGCTCACACACAATTCCCTCTTCGG